AACATGTAATGGAAGAGAAGGTTTGTAGAGATCTGTTTTTGACATGCCTCTAAAAGTAGATGTCATATTAATTTTGTCTCTTCAATGTCAAAAAACTTTTCTTTGAGAGGCAACTTTAGTTTTTGGGAAAGAAAAAAAATCACAAGAAGACAAATTTGAAGAACATGCAGGACGATTGAGTACACATACTTATTTTCGGAACACAAGCGGTTCTCCGACTGGTTATTGAATAATGAAAAGATGCATTGTCATGCAATACAAAACATTTGGAATACGTTTTCTGGCTGAATAACGTAAGATTAAAAGTCATCTGCTTAATTCACATCCATTTACAATTCAACTACTCGGGCAATTGCAGAATCGTTTTGATCCTGAGCTTGTAAGACAAACCTAATATCACTGGATTTAAACACTTCTTTAATCTTCCGAGAACGTTCCTTCTTTAGCTCATATTCCAAGAATATTAAGTGAATACAATTATTGCCAAAGAAATTGAATATTCATTTGCACTACGGCTTGGTAGTTTACTAACGAGTTAACAAAATTTAAATTCTGCTTTTTGTGTCTAAGAATACAACAATATTTTAAATATTTACAAATAAAATATTAAATTGGAGCCTCATCAGTTGCCTAGAATTTGAAAAAAAAAAAAATAAAAAAAAAAATAAAAATAAAAATAAATAAATAAATAAAAAGATAGTTAAATACTAACTGTTTGCTGCAAAGCCTAACCCAGGCTGCATGCTTGGTTTTCGTAGATTTTTAGGTTCTCTTTACAAAGATTCTCTATGAAAGCATCTTAATCAAATAGCTCCCATATTCTTTCTATGTTCCAATAACCAACTAACCTAGTTTAAGCGCGATTTCCAAGTGAAGTTACTAGTAAAATCCGAATACTCATTAAAAATCATGTAGCTAGCCAATCGGGAGTAACATGAAAGATAAGGCACCAATAATTGAAATGTTGTTACGGTACGCTGTTTCTTAACTTAGATGGTCATTCCTTAATTAAATAGCCCACCAACGGCCGAGCGGTAAAGACGCTGAACACTGGTGGTTCAGTCCGAGGTTCGAATCTCGCGAATGGGCTGGCCGCATGGGCGGTTTCGTGGTTTTCCCCATGTGTAACGTGTATACGAGCCAGTTTCCCTTAGAAAGTCCTCCACGAAGGCATCCCTCCCTTTAGGCAGATAGCCCTCGTGTGCTTTGCCATAATTAAATAATCCAATCCAATCCTTAATTGAATATAATTGATTTGTAAATTCTACTAGAACTGACGGTAAGAATTAAAGTGGAATTAAGTAATATGGTGTGCAATCTTGATTAATATAAAATTAAAAATATTTGCATAGAAAAATGTTTGCATTCAGACAGAAAGTTTTTTGAAATATTTGCAATTACTTTATAAGAAGGATTTATTAATAACCGTAATAATTACTTATTATATTACTGATGATTAGGATTCAGTTCTTGACAATTACATTCTAAATTAGAATTTTAAGGATATAATGAAAATACGCTACGCACAAAAATACATTTTAGGAAAAAAAATGAGTTGATTTTTATGTTTTAAAACTTCTTAAATTCATTTAGTAAACATCGTATCCTCGTTGTTTATTGAATACAGAATGTTGGTGTCGTTTATATAATTATTCTTACTTGCCCACAGAATCTGCTGACTTATCCAGCCATTAAGTAGCTGCAGATCATTTCTACATAACCATTGAACTTCCATTAATTCAGTCTCTAGAGGGTTGTATGCTTATATCATAATTTGACTTTTATAAAAAATGATTATTCTAAATATTATGTTTCTATAAAAATATATTGTGCTTTAAAAATATGGATGATAGTATCAGCCGCTCTTTCAGCCACTTCAAAAGCAACAGTTTGTTTAGAAATAAATTATGCAGTTAATGTCATAAAATTCAAAATAAATATCAAACGAAAATTCTCAGTTTTAGACAATTCGATTTAAACGAAGTAAGTAAAGTAGCAGACGATAAAACGCCGAAGGTAAAAATTTACTCTTACAAAAACTTACTCTTAAATTTTTTAAAAAAAGAAAAGATACGAGAGAAATTAAAAAAAAAATAGTTAAAAATTTGAATAATATCATCTATAATTTAAAAAATAGTCTTTCATATAGTATTAATAAATATTTATTACGCATCATTGAGGGAAAAAATGTCATATAATTAATTCTTCGTAAAATTTTACTTGAAGCTGTGGCAATTCGGTGTAACAAAAATCCATAGACCACATTTGGCGTTATTATCGCTCAAAAAAAAGGTGCCAAATTTCAAAACGCGAAATTATGTAAATTCGTGTATATCTTAGAAAATTTTGAATAAAAAAGTCTAATTTTTTGCAGATATGCTTAAAAATACACCTACTTTAAGATGATGGTAAAAATTTTATAGGTTATAATTCAAAATTTTTTTCGAAAAATCTATAGAAATTATTTAAAAATAGAAATTTAAAAAATAAAAAACGCAAAAAAAAAAAAAAAAATGGGTAAATTTTATTTGGAATGAACCAAAATTTCGAAATGTGAGAGAAAAAAATCAAAAAGTTTAATTAATAAAAAAAGAGATATTAATAAATATTTGCCAAATTCAATTAACATTGAGGAGCTAAAATTTTGAGAGCTAATATTTTAAAAACTATTCGTACGATTTTTACAAAACTTGGTATTCTGGCATAATTTGAGTCGTAGAATCGAAATATGTAAAAAAATTGTTATGTTACTTCAGAAAAAGTCCGATTTTGTGTCAAAATACCTATGTTAGAATAGTGCTATATATAAATCTAATATATATCCTAAGTCGCGCTTTCGAGACATGGAAAACGCAGTTTGAATTTTGTCAATCGGCCCAATAGAACGGGAGATATAGCACTGTCCCATTTTTTTTTTTTTTTTTTTGAGCAGTGTACATATGTGTGCATTAAACAATCCTCAACAAATTAATTCAGAGAAGTTTGGTTTACTTGACTATGGCAAAGCACTCAAGGGTTATCTGCCTAAGGGATAAGATGCCTTTGTGGAGGACTTTCTAAGGTAAACTGGCTCATATACACATTATATACATGGGGGGAAAACATGAAAGCCTCCATGCAGCCTGCCCATTTGCTAGGATTAGAACCCTGGACCGAACTAACAGTGTTCAGCAACTTTAACTGCTCAGCTGCTGGTGGACTAATTTAGAGAGTATATGTATTTATATATATTTACTAACTTTATGATAATATATTATATATATTTACTACTTTAATAACATCAATACTCCTTTTATACAATAAATATATAATACTAAATCAAAGTAGTACTTAGTAACATCAATACTTCTTTCAAACTACATTGTTATTACTTTAAAATAATTTCTTTGGATTCAAATAGATTCCAAAATCATGCTTTGCATTTTAAATGATAACATTTAGTATTTGTGTATTCCTGGAGCTTGGGTGGTTGCCAGGCACATCGGAAAGTGGTGGATAGCCAGATGTTCTGTATTATCTGACAGGATACTTTGAATAATAAATAAGAAGCCATGAACCCCTTTCTGTAACCCTGATGCTATGTTACCCATGCCTAGGGTGAATGACACTGCCAGTTATAATATCTTAATGGAGCTTCTAGAATGCCTGGCAACTTCCAGAGTATTTTAGCTTACCCAGCAACAGGCAATACTGGGCAGACCTTTTTATCCTGCACGTTTTTTTCTAGTTTACATATGGCTGAAAATGACAGTGTTGCTTAATAAAAATAACTTAAAAATTGAGAAGGTTAAAAAAAATTGAGAACAGGTTAAAAAAAATTGAGAAGACACTTTTTAACACCAACATTTTATTCTTCGCATCTACTATATACTAATTTAAAATGCAACTGTTAGAAAATTAAGGTGCAACTGAAATGTATCTGCACATGCATGCAGTGATGTGTCCTGCTCGTCTGCCAAGTCTCTAGGAGGGGGGCAAGAACGCTCTCCTCGTAAAGGGGGGGTGCCATCTGTTTGCCACAGACAGTATGACTACAAATTCTGCTTTTTCAGGCAAAACCTCTGAGGTAGACCTTTCTTCTCAAAACAAGGAAACCCAGAAGAAATCAATTGAAGGAACAGAAATGAATCCTTCATTGAGTGAGGTATAAATGACCTCTACTCAAGTTACTCAATCAACATCTGGGAAAAGGCAAGAAGCTATTAAAAGCATGACTGCCTCTCTAGATAAAATCAAAACCAAAAAGAAAATGTCCGGTTGGGGGGGGGAAGAAATGTGCCCGAGAATACTGCCAAAGGTACTTGGGTTGAAAAACACAAGGGAAAATAAGGACAGACGTGTTTGGGCCTGAATTAATCTGCTCAAATAACAACACAAGGATAAAATTCTGGACCGGATCATCACTTGTGAAGAAAAGGGGATTTACTTCAACAACACAAGCCAAAAAGGGGGTTGATCTGCATCTGATGAGCCCAATGGCAGCATTGTACTTATTATATTTACTGCACAAAAAACTTAATTATTTAAAAAAATATATTAAATATTTTTTACAAATTTTCTCCTTATATTTATTTTATATAATTTCTTCCTTATTACATGATACAACTTTATATTAATGAACAATAAATTATTAATTTTATTAATACATTTTTTGGTAACCAATGCGATCTTGATTATACTGATCAATTTTGACATGTATTTATGCATTGACCTCTTAATCATCACTGACCCCCTTTAAAATTTCATTGACCCCCAGGGGATCTAACTGATTTTGCTGGGAACTTCTGCTCTAAATGAATAGCAGTGCATAATCTGTTTTGCATAAATGTGATATTAATTACAGGAAAATTAAATGCATTATAATTTTTAAATATATATGCTTTAAAATAAAGTTTATATATTAATTTAAAAAATTTATGATCCAAATACATTTTTTTCACAACAACTACATAACAAAATTTTTAAAAAGGCTGCAAATAAAAAAAAGTGAGCGAACATACTACGTAAGAGAGGCATAATGGAATCGGCAGGAGACTTCATACCCTTGCAGTGATGGAATGTCCTGAAAATGAAAAACAATTAGAAATTTTATATTAAGAAGCTGATGAAACATATCATATATTTATGTTTTAACCTGGTGCTTTGGTAGGCACTAAGGTAATTAGGGAGAAATACAAATATTAGTTGCACTGGAATGAATTATGGTGATATTCCGGCACATTTAAAATTTCTGCAAGGTACTGCCTAACAATGCTTGCAATACAGATGCAAAGCCAGCAAAACAGCAACAAAAAGAAATCCCCGATTTCCACTTCATAAACATGCTAAATTCCAGAGATCTGTGGAGAACAGATATTAAAACACAACACGGAATGATAGAACAATCATTTTAATACAATATATCAAAGTTTAAAGATATGATAGCAACAGGAAGGCAAACATCTATTGACATTTTATTATCATTTTTGGTTACCATGACTCAAAGTTGAGGAAAGAACACAGGTACCAAACTATGCTAAAAATATATTTATTTACTTAACAATTGATTATATAACTTCTACTAATTATATAAGCATACTATTTGACAAGTTTTGGACAATATATAACCTACTTCCCCTTCTTAAAAATGATTTCACAAATAAAGATAGAAGTATCTCTTTAACAGTCTGCACAGAAAAATATGTACATGAAAGAATATATATAATAGAAAAGAATTTTAAATTTTACTCACATATTTCAAACAACAGATGAAGAATAAGCTTAAAAAGACTCTCTTAGATTAAGCACATAATAAAAAGGAAAAAGTATTAAAATGTACAAATTATTGATTTTAATATAAGTTTCATTTCATATGATAATTTTCTTCTTCCACCTCCCATTTTTTTTAAAAGCTATATGTGCAATAAAAATTCTGAATTGTGTGTTTCAATTGCATTGGGTTGCTTCTAGAAAATGCCATGGTTGTAGAAAAAAAGATTTGCCATGTAATGAGGACTAATGAGATTTAACTTCGATTTAAACTTAGAGAGATAAGAAACTGAACATTCTTTACTGATATAGCAACTTGACCTCATGATGATAAAATGAGATAATTAATAAAGGTATAATTTAATATTATAATCCAATATGGGTAAAAGTTTACAATTGGGTGCTCCTTAGCACTTCTTTTTTAACGCCAAGATCGGCACCAGGAAGTACAATTTCAAGATGGCCGCTACAGAAAACCAAAATAAGAAGTCAAAGAATTGCACAAACTCTGTGTCCATGTACACATCGATCTGCTTTCACTTAAAAAAAAATCATAGAATTGCACAAAGTAGGCATTGCCTACTGCCTTAAATTTGTCCATGTACACATCAATCTATTTTCATTTAAATAAAATCAGGAAGCTAAAACAAAGTTAAAACTGTCATGTTAACCAGAAGTGAGGTTTCATCGCCAAAATTAAAAACAAAATTGTCACTAATCGAAGGGGCACCCAATTCTACACTAGAGCCCCAATATGCATTACAAATAAACCAGTAGCTTAAGAATATTGCTAAACTACTTTTCATAAATTCTGCTACCACTGCTTGTTCATTTTCATTAAATTTGGTTACAAGTATCAAATCTTACGTGGCCATTTTAGACTAAAACTAGATTCAGGATATTTAATGCTTACAATATTAGTTTCTAACACAATTCAATTTTCATTTTAGCAACAGGTGAACTTAACCCATGAACAGATTCCTGATATAACATGTCTTGAGGAAATGAGGAATTTAAAATTTTACACTATACAAGACAGAATTCTACATAATGGTACCAAGTTCAACTGTCGGAAATCTGAAATTTTAATACAGAGCCTATCAACTTTCAGAAAAACCAAAACATCATTAAAATTTTATGTAAGATTTCTGCTGAATGTATAAGAGATCCAAATAATAGTATATGTTTTTCAAATCCATTCTAAATGTTGGTGGCTTCTTTACATGAAAACAATTACTGCTTCACTGCTGTATATAAAAACATATTATTGCATGCTACTGAACAACTGGAAACAATAAGAAATTTAAGTACGAATTTCAGAGATAAATTCAGAATATTTTTATCTTCAGTGTCAAGTTAACACACTATTTTATGCAAAGAAGTTTTGGATTTAATTTTTTATCTGAAGATCCACCATTCTTTAATTAAACTCTAAAACATATTAATGAAATCATAAAATACAAATGCACTTTATTTTATTAATTTATTATTAAAAGTTTAATGTCTTAAAACTTTCAGCTAACACTTACCCTGTCAATAATTGATTATCATTCCTTAGCCAATTAAAATGTGCTTTTTTTAATGTAAGCTTTGTAGGTTTTGATATTTCAGAGCTTTCATTTTTACAAATTTGAGGTGTTTCTTTTGTTCCATCAGTTCTTTGCTCTAGTTCCAAAAACTCTTCTTCATCCTGGGCAACCTGCAATAAATAAATAATAAAGTGCTGATTTATGTTAAAGAAATATCAATAAGCTTTATGATTAGAGAAAGATTTTAGTTCATTCTAGAAAGTAAATCAAGGAGAAAATCCTATTTTTTACTTCCAAGTTAATTAAATGATAGTAATATCAAAGGAATAATTTTTTAGCTATAGTAAAAAACTGACTTCATAAAGTTTGAAACAAACTTAAACCTTCTAAAACATGTTCAGCCTCATGAAAACAGAATGAAAAATAACTCTTCAGAGCTATGAAAAAATAACCTCATGGTCTCACAAAAAAATAACTCACTAAAGCTATTTTTTCAAGTCGTGACTACAACCAGAATTACAATCTCTTTACTTTTACATAACTAACAGAACAATTGATAAAAGCTAACGTAAAATACAGATTATATATACAAAAGCTAACATAAAATACAGATTATATATATTGTTACGAAATGTACAGGCGCGGTAAGATATCTTCCCCGCAAAGCAGGTTTAGGATTGCCATAAAATGGCAAGGAAAGGCAGGGTTGCCACATTTGGCAAGAAATCACCCATTTGGCAACGAAATTGGCGATATACTATGGATGGATGGAGAACCTTCTGGATCGAATTCTTAACGATTTAGCCCAGAATGTTCTTGAACACAAGCCGGAAGCTATATAAACCTTGCTGGTCCACAGTCAGTGTGTGTGTGTGCCTCGTCTAGCGAACTGATAGTCAGTCATTGAGCGAGTATCTCAAAGTCTAGCGGCAAGTTGGTCGTCGAGTGCATCGAGAGAGTCTTTTAGTGTATCGCGAATACGTGCATCATCGAGTTTTGACTTAGACTGTGCTGAGTCGAGAGCTATACTCTTGTGTATTGTCGAGTGCATAGCAAGTTGTAGCTTGGAGAGTCTCGAGAGTACGTGGAGTTCCGAGAATGACCAAGCAGAGTTGGGAACTGTACTCTGGTGCTTTGCAGTGAAGCTGTCTCCACCGTTATTGCCTGACAGTGTGAAAGCTGTGTCGCTGAACGTGTCAGCGTGTTTATAACAGTTCGACGACTGTAAAAGTGATTTTGGAGTTATCTGATTAATATTGGTAAATAAAGTGTGTTTCAATACTTCATCAAGTGTCGTCATTATTGACTCCAAATCTACAAACCCCGTACGCACGTGAAGGAAAAAAAAAAAAAAAACGCAACATAATATATATATATATACAGTTAAAAGTCTCTAATCCGGATGTCCATTATCTGGAGTTATCTTTAATTTGCACCTCAAAGACATAAACTTCGCATGTGTGTAATGCGTTTATGCGTGCGCGTAAAGCGTTTATGCATGCGCATTTGATGTGCACGTCCGCTACTCATGTGCATAAAGCCAGTAAAGTGTTTACTCATGCGTGCTTCCGATAGATAAGAAAGTAACAGAGAACATTATTGAAAACGAAAAAATTTCGATTGACAAGTTAGTCGGTATTCTCGACACAGCAATTACAGGACTTGAACAGTGGAACTTTGTAACTGAACAGGAAATCATGTCTGTTTATAGAATTAAAGAGAAAGTATTAGCACAAAAAATGAAGCAACTTAAACAACTTACATTGATAGAAATGTTTACTAAAGTAAACAAATAAATATTAAGCTTTTTTTTTTTTTTTTTTTTTTGTAAATTATGATACTCTTTAGATCATAATTGCTCTTTATTTCATAAATTACGGTTTTGTATTTTTAATTGCATAATTTCTGCATGCCATCTTACCAGATTTAAATTGATGATCTATAGTTCAGAAAAGCCCCTAATCCGGAATCGCCGAAGTTCCGATTACGGACTTAGTATATCTATCAAAGATTGAATTAAATTTACTACTCAATTTGGCAATAATCTCATGATATAAAAAATTTCATAAGCTAAATGGAACTGCCACTTTCATAATGAATCCTATAAGGTCTTCCACTTTAGTTAATCTCACTTTAAATATAACTAATTGGCTAAAACTCAACTTACCAGTTTGGCATCATAATTCTTATTTGAGTAAAAAACGAAACACCTTCACATTTGTCAATTATTGTTGATTGATGGGGAGTTGGTTTGTTCCCCTTGAAAAGCCAACCAATTTCCAATCAATGATGATAATTACTTGATTTATTGATTGATTTTTCATTTTCAAAGGTTTCCATTTCAATTTTTCATTATTCAAATTCAAATTCCTTTAAAAAAATTTTCAATTTTCAATGCATAAAGTTACTTAATTCTACTAACCTTATCTAAGGAGATAACATACTCAATAATCCATTAGTAAATAAATTATATATATATACACAACCAGTAGAACTAAAATAGCCAACTGCACTTATAATTTACTTACAAGATTTATTTTTCTGCATAATTATCAAGTTTATTTTAATATTTAAATATATAAAAGGTAGTGTGGCATGAGATTTCTTATATATCCTTTGAAAATTTCTATCAATGTCCACCCCAGATAAACATTCTGCAGAATATAGATTTCTGAGAATTCCACACTACAGTCATGCATGGTCAGTCATCTGTCAAATAAAACTACTAGTTCTGCCATAAGTCACTTTTTCATGTAAAAACATATAAATTCCGAGTGGTTCATCTTAAGAAAAGCAAGTACTATTCTGTTATCAGAGCCGGACTTGTTGCCCGTCAAGAGATTAGTTTATATGAAGTCGCCTATGTTAACTTTAACATTCATTACAATGTTTATTTTTTTAAAAAAGTAAAAGAATGCATTTGAGAAACTCACAATGAGAACACAAATTCTAAAGATGTAATGGTAACTTGTATTTATATTATTATCTTATTTACCATGGATATGAAAATTTGGGACGAAATGTCTTCCATACAGTTTCTTCAAGAATGAGGAATTATTTACTCTATAAGAAAGCGCACGAAAGACCATAAAATGAAGCTAGCTCTATTTCATTTAAGAAACCATCAAAATGGAGATGTGAAACTATGACACAATGAGTAAAAAAAGAATTACATTCTTAAATTTACTTTGAAATATCGAGAATCAGTTTCTTAATGTCAATTTGTTTCTTTAATACATGGTGTTTAGAATTAACTTTTATTGAATTCTGTCAGTATCAACTTTATAAGAATCATTGCACTGTTGTTGATTGGAATAGTTATATACATTCACCTTCAGTGCTGCTAATAGCAATAGCCTTTATAATGACATAGCTTTCTTTAAATTATTAAGAATTTTATTATGTAGTTTTTCTATTAAAACCATTTCACTGAAATACTTAAAATCACCTACAGTCGAACCGTAAGATTCAAGTTTAATTCGTATAGCGAATTTCTCGTATCTAGAAATAAACTTCCCCATTGAAAATAATGAAAATCCTGTTAATCCGTTCCACCTCCCCAAAAGTATCAACATAAAAATCAATTTTCTAATAAATGACACTGGTACATAATATAACCATAGTTTACCTTTATGAAGAGTCCTGACTGGCAACAGGGACGTGGGGAAGATTGCAATGGGTTACTGTGGGGATGGATACTCCCCCTCTGATTGAGGAAGGCTCTCCCTTCTTGGGAATTTTACTCCACTAGAAGCAGGTTCTGGGTCAGAATCTCTTAACTTTCATTTAGTTGCATGTTGCTCTACCAAAAACGTATCTAGTAACACTTGCTTCTGTCTTCTTTTCAAGATGCCTCTAAAATGCGACACTACATTTCATTCCACAAGTTCATGGCGTGCCTATACACTGCTTTATTCGGTTGATTTTCTTCAAAAAAAGTTTTCACTTCTTCCCACTTGCCTAAACTTCTTTAATCTTATTGGAAGAGAGGGCCTCATCTCCTCTTTCCTCTGCCCCTAACGAAAACTCTTCTACCACCTCTTACTGCTGCTCTTTGTGAAGTTCTTTTAAGTTTGTTCATTGTAAGTTTTTCACTATGCTCCTTCACTATCTCATCCAGATCAGCACTATCCACATCCAGACCCATACTTTTCCCCAGAGATACAATTTCTTTGACTAGCTGCACTGTGTTGTCCACGGGTTGAAGATTGAAACCTAAGTCAGGAATACTCTGAGGCCACAGTTTTTTTCCATGCTGAATTCAGGGTCCTCACTGAGACATCTTTCCAAGCCTTATCAATGAGGTTTAAACAGTTTAGGATGTTGAAGTGATCCTTCCAAAATTCTCTGAGGGTCAGGCTTGTATTTGCAGTCACTTTAAAGAACCTTTGAAACAAGCCTTTGCGTACAGCTTCTTAAAGTTGGAAATAACTTGTGGTCCATACGCTGGAGAAGTGGAGTGGTGTTGGGATGTAGAACACTTATGAAATGAACTGAGGCAACAATCTTCTTGGAAGGCATTGTGAAATAATTATTTTCATGTTAAATGCAAAAAAACAGTTATCTCACAAGCGCACAAACACATAGATAAAAGAACACCAAGTGATCTGACGAGGGGATTCCTTAAGTCGGCCAGATCGGGAAATGGCACCACGCATACCAACAGCCTGGTTCATTGTTCGTTACTTGAGTCAATGCTCGTATTTAGAAGCACATTTTTTGCTCATACTTTCCACGTACTCGAATTTCTTGTATACAGAGGTGCTCGTATCTCAAGGTTCCATTGTATTTTTATTTCAAGCTTTAATATAAAATTAAATTGTCTGTACCTTTTAATCTTCATCTGGCCATGGGCATGATATTCACCCATGTCTCTGGATAAAAACATTAAAATTTGTTTTTAATTATTCATTGCTCAGCTGCTCATTATTTTCATTTCTAATTTTATAATTACTATGCAGCAATAATCTATTCAGTAAAGACATAAAGAGGCAGATTTTTTCTTGTAGTAATTTGTGAAATTTACTCTTTGTTTTCAATTTTTAATCCTTCAAATTCCTTTGATTTTAACAAAAAATAAATTTATTGTTTTAAGTAAATAAAAGGAACAAGAGGATCAAAAATTAGACACACATTTAACAAAGGATTCACATGAGTCCCATATAGCTCA